GAGAACACATCTTGCCTGAGTGGGCATGCATGTTCACTCACTCTGCCTCGTGTGTATGTGTGCTTGTGTGTATCTGTGTGTATGTATTCTGTCCATATCTGTTTCCTTAAAATAAAGAAAATAAAAATCAGCTGAGTTCCCACCAGGCTGGTTGAGACTAAATTATCAGGTCATATGAGTTTCTTTAATTACATATTTTTTCAATGAATAGATTTATTGTTGTTGTTAAGTACTGTGGGGTTGTTACATGTTGGACCCCGTGCAGGGTAACCATGAGTCGGAACTGACTCCACGGTATTTAACCACCACCACCACCACCATCATTAATTACTTAAGTGCCTGTAGAAATGAATGTTATCCATTCATAACAGTTTGGGTACAATTTATGCATTACTATAAAACAAATAAACCAACAGTAGAAAAATTAATTTTCTAATCTAAAATACAGCTTTGAAAATTATGCCTCTTTTCTAAGCTAAATTTAAAATGTCGGGTCATGATTTAACAATCTCTATAAATCTCAACTCTATTTTAATAGAAATAACAGACACATATTTAAAGAAAGAAATCAAGCATAGAAAGAAATCAAGCATAGAAAGAAATCAAGCATAGAAATCAAGCATTGGCTAAATCTCATTAAATTATTGGATATATTATATATAGTTATATTTATCAGCTACTCTGTTTTTTCACAGAAAAGTCTTATTTTGCTTTGTAAAGCAATGTTGCTATTAGGTGCCACCTGTCCCTGTTGACACAAAGTAAGGAAACAAAGCTCAGTCCTGCAATGTGCCCATGATTGTTATGGGTGGGCTCACTGGTGTAGCCACAGTGTCAGTCTATCTCTTTGAGAGTTTTCTTCTTAGTCACAGACCCTCTAACTTTACAAAGCATGATGTCCTTCTCCAGGGACTAGTTGCTCTTGATAGCATATCCAATGTATGTGACACAAAGTCTCACTATTATCACTTCCAAGAAGTATTCTGGCTGTACTTCTTCAAGACAGAACTATTTGTTCTTCTGGCAGTCCCTGGTATTTTCTATTATCTTTGCCAACACCATAATTCAAATGCCTCAACTCTTCAGTCTTCCTTATTCAATGTCCTTGTAAAGCAATAGATAACAAACTTCAACTGACTCTACATAGGAAAAAAACATCAATTATCTGGATTTCTTTTTTTGTCATTAAGCTTTATAAAGAGACAAATTAGAAAAGGTATTATCGGGTATTAATTTCAATGATAACTTAGAGATTATTTACTTGGACATGAAATCAGGGCTATCTTTTCTATTTTCTGGGTGTTTATGCTATACAATGATCATTGATTTTCTGAGTGATAGCCCCAAGACTCTGCAGTTGTCTAAAAGAAAGGTTCAATTATGTTTCTACATTATACTTGTCAAGAAATAAAAGTAAGGGAGTATATTTCACAAAGAATTCTTCAATAAAAATAGCAACAATCTTTGAATTAATTAAATTAATGTATCTGGAGAGTTCAGATCACCCATGTCTCAGCAATCTGTGCATTCAGGATTGATGGAGTAACAACATTTTAGTTCATGAGTATTTCTTTATACAGCAAAACCTGTAATATCCAGAATCTGTATAATGCAAAAAACTAGCAATGGGGGAAACTAACTCATATAATCAATCCCCACTGAAACAGTTACTAGAAAAGCTGTAATACTACACCCTGTCAAAAGCGGAAAACTTGTGAGACCGCCCCCGCAAAACAAGGCCATGTTGTAGAGTTCCAAGTATCACAAGTTTCACTATATATGACCCAGTAGCCCTCAACTTTAAGTTGAACCGTAAGAGTTGTTTTATTAAATTTTGGACGTAAGAGAATTACGTATCAGATTTTTAATCCCCAATGTTGCTGTTAGATGTGTCAAGTCGATTCTGAACCCATGTTTATGCTCAGTAAAATGAAAGACTAAAACGATGTATAAATAAAATATTAAACAGCTTCAGAGAGCTGTGTTTATCTTTTCAGATATAGGGTCTTGAGCAACAAGAGGCTGGTGAGTGGACAGAGTCCAGAATGAGAAGGCTCTCTCCCAGTTCTGACATCGTATGCTGATAGGCTTTCTGCTTTCCATGTTATGCTGAATAAAGGATAAAAAAGAAAAAAAAAAAGAAAAATACAAGAAACACATAGATGGAAAATGCCATCAAAAGTGAATAATTACTGCCAAGGTAATAAAACTTTTGCAAAAGTTCCATTTTTGATGCAAACCATGAATTATTCTTTTGTTCCCCCCCCTTTAAAATTATTCTACAAAACTAACTTCATTCACTGTTAAACACCACCACCACCTAATTATTTTCTCCCTGACCATTGAGATTTTAAGAGCAAACTCTTCAAAATTACTGGAGGGATGAAAATTGGTGTGTGTGTGTGTGTGTGTGTGTGTGTGTGCAGTGGGGGTGGGGGTGGGGGCTCCAGCTAGAGGCTCAACATTAGGACATATTTTCCTTGGAAGGCTTCCTTTGTTTCTCCACCCTAATCCTGACCTGTTTGGCTGATTCCTTCTTACCATTCTAAGGCTAATTTTCTAGGAAATCTTCCTTGTCCAACAGTCCCCACCATCTCATTCATTTGCTCTTGTTTTTGTTGTTGTTAAGTGCTGTTGAGTTGATGCTGACCCATAGCAACCCTGTGTAGGGTTTTTGAGGAGCAGTTGGTGAGCTTGAACCACCAACCTTGTGGTTTGAACCGACTTTGCAGTTCAGTGTATTAACCCACAGTGCCACAGGTATACAATTATTCCTCATGGTACACACTTCTATTCAGGCTTTTTACCCCCGTAATTTTTACAGTGTGCTTTTCCTCTTTTAGGCTGTTAGCTCCTGTAAGGATAGAGGCTGTGTTAACATTACTGATGTCTGTATGCTTAGCACATGCTTTATACACACTGGGGATTCAGCCAACATTTTTTCTATAAATGAATATGAGTATGGAAGCATTATTATAATTAGGGCAATTAGTGAGACACCTTCTTCCATTTAAGATGTCAAACACATGAGAAACATGAGCAAAAAAACACCCTAACCTAAGTTCCAAAAGCACATTCTCCTCTGTGGGATGATGGAGCCTTCCTGACAAAAGTTGAATAACGAGAGGGAAGAAGGCAGACAATGTTGACTGTTGACTGCCTTGTGTTCCATAAGTGGTTATATCAGGAAAAACTGAGTCAGGGAAAAACACCATGAAATTCAGATAAAGTAGTACCACTTGGGGAATTCTTCCCAATCATCATTTGCCCCAGTCTCCACTATGGTAGAAATTAGGGGTGCACTGTGTCCCAGGATGAGAAAGCAAACCACATCTGGCCTCCAGTGTGGCATTTACAATTCACTGTACAGCAGAATATACCAAGTTGGTCACAGAGATATATCCCTTGTCTGTTCAAGACCACACTTATGTCTAACTATAAGCCAAATTAGTTTCTGTTAAGTCAATTCTGACTCTTGGGGACCTAATGATCAGAGTGGATGTGTACTCAATAGGGTTTTCAATGGTTGATTTTTTGGAAATAGACAGCCATGCTTTTTTTTTTTTTTTTTTCCTGGTGAGCCCAATGGCCAACTCAAACTGCCAACTCAATTCAAGTGGACTCAAACTGGCAACATTTTGATTAGCACCCAAGTGAAAAGCAACTGCTTTGCCACCTAGTGACTCCATTTCTAACCAGCAAACCATTTTAGGGACCTTCTGCTAGCCATACAGTTTGCTTTTTTTTACATTCCCCACATTCAATGGACCAACAAATCCTGTCCATTCTGCTTAAACCTTCCTTCCCCAGTTTCAATTCAGTTCTCATCTCAGTTTTTCATACTCTAGCAACAGCTCTCTCTTTGAACTATAGAGACAGCATCATCATTATTGGGCATTCTGCCACCAATGAATTCTCCATATGTTACAAAAATACCTTTCCTAGATAAATTTAAAAAACAACAAAAGCCAACTCATCATAAGATTTCCTTTCTTCAAATATTTTGTCCTTCCTTCAAATATTTTCCTTTAGTTTGGTTTCCTTTTTCCCTCTCTCTTTTATGAGCATGGGAGCTAGGGTGTAGGGATTCTTGCTTATTGATGACAATGTTTTCTTGAGTATAGCGTGGATTTTTGCTTACTGATGACATTTAAACTCCTTAAATTTGCTCTTATAAATTGGCTCCCGCTTTATATCCCGTCAGTCAAATCCACATAAAAATTTCTTCTGTTACATTGAATGCCTAACTTTCTCTGGAAATAATGTGCCTTGCCATGAATTCTTGCTTTTATACACACAATTCCTTTTGTCTGGAGTGATGTGCCAACTTTGCATTGGGAAATGGTCATCTTCATCATCCAGCTTAAGTATGTTGTCCTGTTGAAGGAGGACAACATCTTTTACTTTGTTCTATTGATTTCTTCAGTAAGATGATAACATCTTGGTACAAATACTTACCCCAGCAGTTACCCATCCCTTTTAACCATCAATTCATCCCTGAGTTGTAATATATTCAAAGGCAGATACAGAGGCTTTCATATTAAGCATTAACATAAGGAAACAATGTATGGAATAAGTAAAAGTACAGAGAATAAAGTTTTTAAACGAACCAAATGAATGTTAGCATCTTGTTTTGGAAGAGTTGAAATAATATTTTTCCATATCATGTTTTAAATTGGCTACTAAGGTTTGACTTTGGAACCTAATGAACTTGAGCAGCTTTGTTTCTATGGTAATAGACATTCTAAGTTCCAAAAGCACATGTACAAATGAACTTTGGAATACAATAAGCCACCTCAAGGCTCCATGAGCCCAAGAAGCAGGCACTAAAGCTGGAGGGGTCCTCAGGCTGTGCTTGGCTGTGACAATTGGAGAGGTGAATGAGCCTGAGTAACAGCGTAAAGTCTTGAGAGGCAGCAGGTCATCAAAGAAGACCGTCTCCAGTCAGTCAGTGAACAGTCCAATGTCATCTGCCCATCTAGCCCTCCTGGGCCCATGCCATGCTGATCACCGTGTACTGTGTGAGGAGGGACCTCTCCGAGATAACCTTCTCTCTCCAGGTCAGTCATGATTTTGAGCTTCACAACTTCCGGGTACTCTGTGAGCTTGAGTCTGGCATTCCAGTTGAAGAGACTGAGATAATCTATATGGAGCAACTTCTTGATGATGACCAGTGTTCCCTGGGTTCCTATGGCCTAAAAGATGGTGACGTTGTAGTCTTACTTCAGAAGGAGAATTTGGGATCTCGACCTCCAGGACGAATATCAAACCAGCCTCGAGTAGATTTAAGTGGGATAGCCATGCCTGGAACATCCCGTTCCCGCCAACAGCAGCAGCAACGTGTACAAGTAGCCCAACAGGCCCAAGCCTTGGCTTCTGGAGAGAAGGTTGTATCTTCTCAAGGTTTGGACAGTCCAGCCTTGATCCGAAGCATGCTGCTTTCCAATCCTCATGACCTGTCCCTGCTGAAGGAGCGCAATCCTCGCTTGGCAGAAGCTCTGCTCAGTGGAAATCTTGAAACATTTTCTCAAGTCCTAATGGAGCAGGAAAGGGAGAGGACCCTGAAAGTGCAAGAGAGGCTTCACCTCTATTCTGCTGATCCATTTGATCTGGAAGCACAGGCCAAAATAGAAGAAGAAATCCGGCAGCAGAACATTGAAGAAAACATGAACATAGCAATGGAAGAGGCGCCCGAGAGTTTTGGACAAGTGGCAATGCTTTATATCAACTGCAAAGTGAATGGACATCCTTTGAAGGCTTTTGTTGACTCTGGTGCACAGATGACCATCATGAGCCAAGCTTGTGCTGAGAGATGTAACATAATAAGGCTGGTGGACCGACGATGGGCTGGGATTGCTAAAGGGGTGGGCACACAGAGGATTATTGGCCGCATCCATCTAGCTCAGATTCAAATTGAAGGTGATTTCTTGCAATGCTCTTTCTCAATATTGGAGGAGCAGCCCATGGACATGCTTCTAGGATTAGATATGCTCAAGAGACACCAGTGTTCCATTGACTTGAAGAAAAATGTGCTTGTGATTGGTACCACTGGCACACAGACGTTCTTTCTTCCTGAGGGAGAGTTACCCCCGTGTGCTAAGTTGGTAAGTGTTACAGGGCATGAAGAATCTTCAGATAAGGAAGTGGCTAATCCTATTAAAAAACCAGTCATGGATTCAGGATGGAAAAAGAATTGAAGCAGGTTGTAAATGTATCACCACTATGAGGGTGTGTCAGAAGCCAGTAAATTCTAAGAAAGTAGCTCACTGGCAAATGTAATCATTAAAAACATCAGTAACAACTAAACCCAACCTTTGAAGTAAGTATTGAGATCTGTAACTAGGTAAATTGTACTTATTTGATCCTGGCCTCTCTTCCATGTCCTTTATCTAGTGATCATTGAACCTCATCCTGGGAAGGTTCTGGAGGTGCTAGTTGATTACCAGAAATCCAGCCTCTTCCTTTAAAGACACTAACCAAGCAGATTAAGGTGGCTTGTCTAAATGCCATTGCTGTCAACACTACAAAGCATTTAAGCAAAACTATGTGTGTATTGAGCAAAATACAATGTTCACATTCCCTAACCAAGTCTTCCCTTGTACCAATGCTCACACCCTGTACAACTGCTGTAAATGTCCAAAGGGACAGACTTTTCTATTTTTGTTTTTCAGTAGGCATACTTAAAAGGAAGAAATTCAGAGCCAAGTCAGAGGTAAGGACAATGCCTATGAATTAATGAGAACTGACTTACTACGTGCATGGGTCTCTTCATAGTGTAAAACTATGCACAAACCTTGATATTTTCTTCTTCTGGGATCAGTTTTAAGTTCCAATTTTATTTACACATATATATACATTCATTTTGCATGTCATAAGAGATTGCTCAATGTCAACTAAAAACAGTGAATAGCGTACAAGGATACCTGGCACACAAAAGCCAATCTAAACATCACAGAATCTTCAAGCTAAAAGATAGCTCAAATCCTATTTTAGTCCAATCATACCCACCCTGCTTGTATCTCAATCCTATAATTGAATTCTCTGACAAAAATCTTATATCATCATGAAACATCTGTATAAACTCCTCTAATGACAAGGCCTGCCCCTTCTGCTGTAGCTATAATGTTTTGGGACAAGTCTTAGGTAAAACACTTTGTTGCTTATTTTGAATTCAAATCTATTATCTTAAAACTTCCAATAAATTGGTCTTCAATCTTCCTTCTGCCAAAAACATATTCAGTCTCTCTGGAATAAGGTAATCCTGTTCATATAGGACATCAGTATCATCTTAAATATGTTCTTATGCGGGTTTCCAGAAGATTCTTTCATTGTACTTCAGAGCACAAATCTACTAAAAAATTTTGTCGTGTTCCTTTGGACATATTCCAGCCTCTAGAACTATTACTTTATTGAATGGATTTGGAAATCAAAAACACTTTTATTGAATTGAAAAGCAATGACCTCAAAGAAAAATAAATCAATAGAGTAAATAATTGGGCATTGCTCTTACACATTATTTAAAAAAAAATTTGTCTTTTAATTCAGAAAGTATTTTCAAAAATTAATATCATGAATTTAAACTCTGAGGCTATCCTGTGCACACGTAAACAGGTCCTAATCAATTAAATTTGAAATGGGTTTGTTTTAGGTACAGGCAGAAGAAAGGTGAGGCTTTCTGCTCCCGTAAAGATTTACAGTCTCGTAAACCCTATACAGGGTCGTTATGGGTCGGAACTGACTCCACAACATATAATTACCACCACCACCAGTACCCACTGAATGTCTACTATGTAGATCTTTGCATACAATATTGCAATTAATCTTTATAATAAAGCTTCATCATAGTTATAATTGTGTAGTGCTGTAGGATAAGAACTAAACTGCTAACCACCAGTTTGGTAGTTCAAACCCACTAGCCACTCCTTGGAAACCCTACACAAAGGTCACTATGAGTCAGAACCAACTCAATCACACTTTAAAAGAACAACAACATAGTTATCATTAACCCCGTGTTACAGATGGGGACATTTGAAGCTTTCAAATATCCATAACTTCCTGTTTTCTTTCAACTCTTTTGAACAATTTTACATACACATGAATTTATATTTATTGTTACTATGTACCATCATTCAGTTCTGACTCAAATAGGATTTCTGAGAATGGCTGGTGGACTTGAACTGCTGACCTTGAGGTTACCAGTCCAGTGTTTACCCTATAGTGCCACACCAAGTCTCCATGAATATATGTTGACTGTTGTTGTTATTAGTGCCATTGAGTCAGTTCCAGCCCATAGCAACCCTATATAGGGTTTCTGAAAGTAGTTGATGTGTTTAAACCACTGACTTTGCAGCTAGCAGTCCAGTGCTTATCCAACCGTGCCACAACAGGGCTCCAAAAGCTCACTCTCATGACATGGTGAGGCAATGGATGGAGCAACATACATATACACCTATATGTGTGTGTGTGTGTGTGTGTGTGCATGTGTGTTTTCAAGAAGCAAAAGGCTCTTGATAATATGAAAGAATTCATACTTTCTTAGTGTTTATTAATAGTTTACTCCTATTTTCTTTTTTTAAAAAAATATGTTGGATATGTCTTACTAAATGCTCAACAAAAGCATCCTGATACATAATTTGAAAAACACCCACTGATCTAATTGCTCAATTTAAGTCTTTTCAGTTACAAATGCCAAGCTCTTTCCCCTATAAAACTTGCTTTAGTTGACACATTTTTTATCCTAAGTACTGGTACAAAATTGTTACAAAATCCCATTTTGTGAAAGCTACCAAAACACTACCAGTAAAAAAAATATAGGATAGAAGCAATCAGAATACACTTGTTGTTGTTGTTACTTGGCACCAACTCATAGCAAAGCTGTGCACAACAGAATGAACCACTGCCCAGTCCTGGGTCAACCTCACAACTGTCACCACACTTGAGGCCACTGATGCTGCCACTTTGCCAATCCATCTCGCTGGGGGTCTTTCTCTATTTCTATGACAGTCCACCTTACCAAACATGATACCCTTCTCTAGCAACTGGTCCCTTCTGACAATATGTCTGAAGTATGAGAGATGAAGTTTGGCCATGCTGGCCTCCAAGGAGCACTCTGGCTACACTTCTTCCAACACAGATCTGTTTGTTCTTTGACACTTTCAATATAGGAGAATACACTTAGCAATTATTTATTTGACGCTCATGATATAAACACTTAGCAAGGCCTTTGGAAATGAGTAAGTCACAGTTTCAGACATCTAGATCATTACAAACTGTAAGGGGTAGGATAAGGATCCATGAGTGATCACTGGACTACTGGCTGACAAGCTGGTGGTTCAAACCCACCCAAAGGCGTCTAGGAAGACAATTTGCTTCCAAAAGGTTACTGCCTTCTGAGCTTTATGGAGCAGTTTTAATCTGCACATGTGGAGGAACCATAAATTTGAAGGGACTTAACAGTAACGAATAATAACAAGTAAAGTCGGTGGTTCAAGCTCACCAGTCGTTCGTCAGAAACCCTATACAGGGTTGCTATGGGTTGGAATTAACTCGATGGCACTTAACAACAACAAACTTGCCAAATGGTTGAGAGTCCAAATCTAGTTAGTAGCACTGTGGAAGTCACAGTAGAAAAAAGACCTGACAATTTACTTTTGGATTGTTGTTGCTAGCCACTGTCCAGTTAATTTCAACTCATAGCATCCACATATGACAAAGTACAACTGCCCCCCTAGTTTTCTTGGCTGCAATCTTTATGGGAGCAGTTAGCCAGGTCTTTATATCACAGAGTTGCTGAAAGAATTTGAACCGCTCCTTTTAGCTTTAAATGGAGTGCAGCTCTACTCTGAATGACTCAGGGTTGTCATGAATCATAGTAAACTCAAAGGCAAAGGTCTTCTGTTGTGGTTAGGGGTACAGGAGACAGACTTGTAACCAACTAAGAACAAAATAAATGACATGAAATTAGTAGTATGTGAGAACAAATAAATGAATTGAATTTCTTTTAATAGGAAGTAAGCAGAGACCATGACCCTTAGTTACCCTTCAAGCTTGGAACTGAACCCATGGCTCAACATTTAGCCAAATAATAGAATGCTCTATAAGGTCAACAGTAACTCCTTAGAACAGTCAACCATAGAAGATCAAAAAGCAGCATTTGCCCAGGGATAAAGCTCAGAAGGCAGGAAGGGACAGGAAAGAAGGACAAACAAAACAGCAAACACAGGGAGGAAGTTGGAAGAGTTTGGTACATTGCGGGGATTGCAATCAATGTCAGGAAACAAAAGGTATACACATTTTTGAATGGAAAATCAATTTTCTCTGTAACTTGAAACCAAAATCACAATAAAAAGTTTAAGAAAAATTGACCCCTGACTAAGTGAATCCTACAAATTTCTTATAGTATACTTGGTTTAACCTTAGCTTTCTTTTCATTTTCCCTAAGTGTAGTCTGATATTAAAAATATTTTTTATCAAAACAAATAGTAAACAATATGTCTGCTTAAATATATCTATAGATACACATATGATGAAGTTCTAATAAATATATACATATATATATGGAGTCCTGGTGTGGGCCTGTCAAGATTGGTTTGAACCGCAAGGTTGGCAGTCAAGTTC